CGCCAAAGCACCCCATTGCTCTGCTAGCATAAATTGCAAGAAAAACATTTAGAATATTGATTAAGTGCTCCATGCTAGAAGATTGAAATTTACCTCCTGTATTTCCAGGATTAGCTGACATAATGGGGTCAGTCTGCTGGCACAAATGATTTACAGAACACCCATTGGCAGCTTTCCTTTTAAAACTCAACACTTAAAATTTTCACTTGGTCACAGCCAGTGGAGTCCTGGGTATTTAGCGGGTTTGGATAATGGCCTTTCTGCCACATCTAGACTTTTGGGGTTTGGCCCACCCCCCACAGGAAGAATTTTGAAATAATTTCAGGTCTGGCCTGGCCCTGAGTGGTAGGGGTCTTCTAAATATAGATTATTTCCAATATTCTAATGCACAATATGTAGGCGTTAAACGAATTATGTCTGCCCTCTACCTCTCCTACCAATCTGTAAACACTGGGCTGCATGATACAAGCGCCCAGCCCATCCCTCTTGATGTGACACTGGAAAGGGAAGGGAATGTGAAGAGCTGAGGCCTTGCTGGGAGGCTGGAAGGTGCGGACCCAGACTGCAGTCCAGTGAATGTCACCCTGGATGGGGGCAGAGGCCGTGGAACCTTCTCAGGGGTCCTGACCTAGTCTACATTACTCTGCTCGACCGTGGAAATCAGAGGTCTGTAAATACATCGAGAGGTCTTCACTGCAAGCCACCAGAGTTAAGCAGTGTACAACGATGCAAAATGGAAATTTTGCCAAGACGGACTTACATCTCCAATGATATTTACTTTAAATAGGCGACAAGTACAGTCCATTTGGTTTAAACATCCTGAGCTTTTTCCAGCTACCAGACCATTCAACTGCACAGAAGATGAAGTAATTGGTAGGATTATTAATGTTTCTTTATTTTTCATGTGACCACTTTATACAAGTCAAAGGAAGATGCCAACAATAGCACAGCCTGCCTTATGCTTGTTACTAATATGACTGCCAATTAATCCTGACATGGAGCTTGGTGGGTTACCCAAAACCCAGTATTTTATCACCTCAGGGGGTTAGCACTTGGACATTTCAATGACATTTTATACTAATCAATCAACTTTCCTTTTTTAAAGCAGAGCCTTTCCCAGGAAACACAGACGAGTCCCGTATTCACCACATGCACGGCCACCTCTTTCCCCAAACAGAATTGTGTTTGGTTTGTTGATAATTACACTTTGAAGCAGACTTGTGAAAATGTTTATTCGTATTTCTTTCCTTCCAAGGGGGAAATCTATCTCAAATGTTAAGGCAGAAACTCAAGTCCCTGAGAGTTTTCTCATATTATTGTATATTTTAAAATATTACAAGAGGGCCCTTCTCAAGGGAGGTGAACTTTAGAGCTGCCAAAGATAGTTGACTTTCTCTGAATCTGTTACCAATGGATCCCAAGCTGGTTTAAGTCAGTTCTATTCTGAGTGATGACACATGGGGCTGGGACAAACGCCATTCAAAGATATTTCTAGGGCCCCCTGGCAAATGGTAATTCATCTGGAGACAAGCAGACAGGCAACGGAGGGACATATGGGGAGGATGAGTCTCCTGGGAGCCCTACTGCCAGGCAAGAGCCCTAAATCAGCCGAGGGACCGTGTTCTCGGGAGGAAGGCCTTCACTCATCACACTTGCGGCCCCCCCAGTCCTGGTCCTCTGGCCTCTAATGATCTTTTCAACTATTCTGTATCTTAGAGGTCACTGTAAAAAATCACCAAGATGGCAGACTTTCAGCTCTGCCCCTACACCGTCTCCTGGATTTGAGGCACAGAGAAACTCAGTCCAAAGGATGAGCTTCGTGCCTGTCCCCTTCATTCACACTGCCGATCTTCTGGAAGAACTAGGAAACACATCTCTCTCCAAACCAGCATCCCCTCTCCTCCTTTTCATTCTTTCCTTCCTCCTCACTGTCTATTCCCAATGCAGAAAGTACCCCAGCCTTGGAGTTAGAAATCCCAGCCTGTCAGAGAATTACCGTGTGACTCTGGTTACATCACTAGCCTCTCCCTGTCTCGGTTGTCTCCCTTATGAAAGGGAAGGACTCACGGGGCTGCTGTGAGAAGTAAAGGGGAAAGAGCATGCAAAATGTCTTGAAAAATAAAATACTGCACCCACCCATTAGTGCTAACTCCCAGCAATGCTGCCTGGCACAGCCCCGAGCCGACACCCCACCCCACCATCCAGCTGTTCTAAAGGGACCAACCGACGTGGGAAGAGGCTGCATGTGACATTTGTAAAACGCCATTATGGAGTGTTCACTGTGCCCCATTTAAGCCTCTTGACTCTAGCAGCTGGGCCACATTTGCAATCTGCAGATGAGGCAGCAGAGGCTGGGAGGGGTTTGCACGCTTGCCGGGGCCACAGTGCTGGTGCCGACAAGAGCAGGGTCTGACCCAGGCTTGGCTGCAAAGCCCGTGCCCTATCCCCTGCCTCCCGTGTGCACAAACGGGCTCAAGCAAGAAGTCATCTTAGGAGTCCAGGCCAGGGCTCCCTGCGAGTGCACGCTGTTTAGCTCCAAGGTATGCCGCTGTGTGTAGCACAGGGAAGAGCGGTGTGGCCACCCCTTGTTCCCTTCCAGTCCCGCACTTCCATGTCACCCTCTGCTGAGAAGTTAAATGGTGCCCCTGAGATAAACTCACACTTTGATTTTACTTCTGCCCCTCTGTTTAGGAAGCAGAGTTCTTATCACTAACACAGGGAAAGGAAGGGCACGGTTTCTTGGGAATACAGTGCCTGTGTTTCCTGACGTTGCCAGGGCAACCCCGAGGCTGCACAGATCCTCCTCGCAGGGGGCGGTTGGGCAGATCTGCGCTGGAGGCAAAGCGTTGGTTTCCTGTGTGGCCAAGCCATGGCCTGAAGTGGGGGGGGGAGCCTGGGGCAGGAGCTATGATCTGGGGGGAGGCAGGGAACACCTCCCGTGGCTCGCCCACCTCCTGCTCATGGGGGAAACGCCAACTTCACGGAGTTTCCATTGATAACTATTCTGAGATGTCATCTATCAGCGTAATGTGACCTTCCAAAAATGTTGCGAAGCTTCATCTTGCCCGCTAAGTTCACAGGGAGAGAATTTCTGTTTTTAGTTTTCAAGGCCCGTCTCCACAAAATTTCCAAAACCCAGAAGGGATGAAATAAACAGGCTGCACGTTGCCCCACAGTCATCCTCCGTGCAGGCAGGGCTTGCCTTTCCTTCTCAGAAACCAGCCAGGCCTACCCTTATCACTTGATGACAACAGAATCCTGCCCCTCCTCTGGTTACTTGTCTTATCTGAGTGGGCCCCAAGGGCAGGGAAGGCTTATCTGGGCGGATGCAGAGCACTGACCACTGGCTAGAGATGAAGAAGAGACCGTGGTCCCTGCCTGGCTCTAGATCGGCCTCCCACTTCCTGGGGGCCCCTGTACAAGTCTCTTCCCCACTCTGAAATCAGGACTCTGCTGCAGGATGGAGCGTTCCATGCCATAGTACCCCCAAGGTGCCTACTGGGTCAGGCATTCCCTGCACGGTGCTCTGGAGAGGGTAAGGGCTCAGGAAAAGCTTTAGAAGTACGCAGAGCATCTGGCTGGCCTTGGGCTGTGCGGTTTCCCTATCTGCCTCTCCTCAGTGTTCTGTGTGTGTGAGGGTCTCCAAGAGTGTGTTGGGGGAAGACACCCAGGAGGACAGAGGACAGAGACCAAAGTTCAGATGAATGGCATGTGGAACATCCAAGGAAAGAGGGGAGACATTGGGGGTGAGGAGATAGCAAGCAAATCAGAAATGGAAAAGCCATCCCAGCACTTTCTAGGGAAGAAGGTAGGTTGTGGGTCAAGGCAGTATTTGGCAAAAGAAGGCGTCAGGTTGAGAATTCCAGTGAGGGTGAACCTTAGAGGGGGGAAACGGGGAGCAAAGGATGTGCCCCAGTGACAAGTATGGGGTGACAGCATGGTGCCTGGCACACAGGCCACTAAATGTCCCCTTCCCAGCATAACAGGAGACCAAAGTCACCATGTGGTCACCACTACCCAAAAAAATCCAGGCGACACCATGGCAAGCATGAGGCTCCTGGGCTCCCAGGGCTGGTTCTGTGACCCACGAGCTCTGCAGACTTCAGCAAAAGGGTTCCTTCTCTGAGCCCCCGTGTCCGCAAATGAAAGAACCAGGTTGCAATTCTCTAGTGACAGCATCTCCCCTGCAGCCGCCGGGAGGGGAACATCCAAAGAGGTGAAGGATGTGAGGACACTTTGTGAACATACACATAGCGATGTCTTGCCAAATAGTTGAATATTCATTACTATGAAAAATCAATAAAAAAGGCAGGATAAACACTCTGCTTTTGACTAAAGGCAGGAAATCACCGTTTGTGTCTTGCTGCGGTTCTGCCCTCTCAAATCTAAAATAACTCCAGAGAGTTTCTGTGACCATTCTCACTGGACTCCATTCATGGACTGGGTTTTGCAGGACGGTTTGAGGCTCCTCACCAGCCCTCCTACTGCCAGAGAGCACTTTTTTTTTGCTGCATGAAGAATGGCCCCTTCCAGGACTCTACACAAGATTTAACACTGCACTGACAACACTGGCTCTGGTTTACCTTTGGAAACAGTTAAATGCTCCATGTTATGTGATGGTGACAACCCCAAGAGCTCCTTTCTTTTCAATAGGCTGCTGCTTTGCAGAGAGCAAAGAATCAGCAAAATAAATAAACAGCCAACCCAACTCTAGCACCCCCCTCACACACACTTTAGGGATTCCTCTTCCCACAGCCCTCATTTTATATAGGACCAGACAGAAGTGCACGCCCCTAGTAAACGGCAGAGTCAGTTCCGTGGTCGGTCTTTCTCTCCACTATATGACATACCACAATCTTCATTCGTTATGTTTAAAATGTAGTTTTAAGATTCAAGCCTGAGCAGCATCTGCTCTCTCTCTCTCTAAAAGCATTCCAGAAAAACAAGTCCGTGTTCTCCCAGAAGTGAGTTCCAACAGGGGATCTGGACCCAGCTCTCACCTGCAAATTTGCACACGGTGGCAAAACATGCGTGGGGATTTCATTCTCAGACCCTGCTGGCCCCAGGGGCTGGTTCTTGAGCCGGAAGGCTGTGGTGGTGGTGGCAGTGGTGGTCTGTACTGGGAGGGCCGGCTGCCACACGGTCACATCGGAGCCATTGCCAAAGGCTTGAATTGCATTTTCTGCAGTAAAACAGGAGGAAATCCAATTTCAAAGTCAAGCAGCAAATGTAACAGACAGGATATACACAGCCAGAGAGGCACACTGGAAATTCTGATTATAGCATTGGACTTCTCTGAACAAAACCCATCCATCCATTTGCCCTACACGTGCTGAGAGCCAGTCTTTGGGGTCAGGTGCTCAAAAACCAATTCAGTCATTAAACAGTAAGCTGGACACTTAGCTATGCTCCAAATGCAACAAATATTTATTGTGTTCCCATTTCTGTGCCAGGTGCCGACAAAGATCCTTGCCCTGAAATACTCATCAGTCATGCCCTTTGAAACCCAGCCTCAGACCTGTTACTTGGGATCATTTTTTCCCAAGAAAATCCTTGTGCTTTGTCAATAGTCTATAATAAAAGCAAACTAATTAGTGCTTTTAAAAAAAAAGTACATTCCTAATCATGAGACTAAGTCAACTCAGTGGCATTTACACTGATTTGGCAGGCAAAATGCAACCAGTTTCTTAAAAAAAAAAAAAAATGAACCCCAAACTCTATCAATATCTGGTGAAAATTTAAGTAAGATTATTTTTCCCTTTCTGCTCCCAGCCTTCCAAACAAAATGTGCACAATTAGGTAGAAGCAGCCCTGTTCAAATGAAAAGTTTAAAATGTAAAACTTTAAAAGCTTATTACAATTTCATGGGATTAAATTGTTTTTATGGCAAGAGTAAATTGGTTGTGTGTTGTTCCCCTCCCCAAGATGAATAAAAAACAGTTTTTAATCAGGTCTTCAGGGATTTGGCCTGGATTTAGGAATTTTGTATTTCATATTCATTGTATAAAAAAATCAAACTCCTCCATTTGGGACCTGAATGTGCAAATTGTTAATATACGACTCTTAGTTGGCATTTTTCGATATACAAAACAGAATAATTTAAGCCTAATCTTCCTCTTAGAAGTGACATTTTGTTCTAAAATTGTTATCCTTTAAGTTCAGCAAATTGGAAGCTTGTTTTCCACAACTTCACATTTTTTGGGGCTGTAAGAAACAGCTTCAAATTAATATAAATTCTTTTTATGCTCCTAGCCTTGTTCTGTAGCTTAACTGGTGGGTGGAAGCAGAAAAAGAGGTACACGGGGACCAGTTCCCTTAAATAACCCCAGAACAGCAACACTTCCTCTTCCTTAAGACGTGTAGATTCAAGAGATCCTTGCCATTTCTTGCAACAACTGCGCCATCCCAGTGTGTCTCCTTTGCCACCTCGGGACTTCAGTTGTTCACTGCTCATTCATTCATTCAAATGTTGATGGAATATCTGCTAAGGGCCAGGCACTACTGTTTGCACAGCGAAAAAATACAGCAACAAAAGACAAAAGTCCCTGCCCCATAGAGGTCACACCCAGGTTGGGCAGGCAAATATGTAAAATATGTCATTAGGCGGAGAGGAATGCTTGGGGCCTGGTACTTAGGTAAAGTGGTCCAGGGAGTCCTCCCAGGGAAGGTGGCATCTTAATAAGGACTGAGTGAAGGCAGCTGGTATCTCCCTGCATCTCCATCCCATTCTTCTCTCTTTCCCCTACATCTGCATGCACTTGGCTTAAAAATAACAGTTTCCTCACCCCAAACCAGAAGTAAACAACTGGTTAGAGCTGGGTTCATAACAGGAGAATCTGGGAGAGGTTTGGCTTAATCCAAAGGGAGCAGAATTGGGTTTTGACATTTGAGCCGGAATCTACAAACTACATGTCCTTCTACTTGGGAGAGACTGAATTTACAGCCCTGCATTTCTGGAGCCCTAAGATCCATCTAGTTGGGCTGGAAATGGAATGACCGTGGAAAATTCTGGCTGCCTTTGGCCCCTGTTGCAGGCCAAGTGCATTTATTTTTATTGAAAAGTCATTAGGAATAAGATACCAGATGATTCTCCCCTTCACCAAAATGTTATTAAGCAGGGACAATTTTAATTTCTCTGGGAGGGAGATGTCTTCCAGTCAGCGTGAGTAAAATCTTTTCTTACACTGACCTCCATTGTCATTGCTTTATCTTCCTTAAAACTTGCATTCTGCCAGAGAGTGCAGGATGTGAAAAAGTGGGAATATATGTAATTTTTTCAAGTCAAGCCCAAACAAGAGGTCCAAGTTGCAATTCTTTGGTATGTCCAGTGTCTCAGTAAATGCCTCCATGCTTGAGACTAGTTTTGTGAGTTCAAATTTCAGTTAAGAACCCAAAAGCTTGTTTTATTTTTAAGAGGACCAAAGCAATTGACTACAGTCACATTATTCGAAGTACCTAGTAAGCAAGTGACTTAGATTTTTCTTTTCAACAAAAGGAAATTTTAAAGTAACACTCAAAACCTTTTTTTGTAAAAGGTCCTTTTAAGAGGACCAAAGCAATTGACTACAGTCACATTATTCAAAGTACCTAGTAAGCAAGTGACTTAGATTTTTCTTTTCAACAAAGGAAATTTTAAAGTAACACTCAAAACCTTTTTTTGTATGTGCGTAGTAAATTGTCAGTTACTTCTTTATCAGTCATACATCATACACCATACAGCCATGCATCAGGGAGAAATTGTCACTTGAGGACAGGGCTCTCGGAGGGGTGACTGAACCTTGATTCCTAGAAACTTGGCCCACCCCTCCCACCAGGAAGTCAGACCTGGTCCCTAATGTTCAAGCCTGTGTTCTTGTCAATATCAGGCATGAACACAGCTCTCAGGAGCCAGGTGGCTACAAAAGGAACCCGGGCTTTGCACCCTAATCCTGGCACGGTGGTGCATGTGCACACCAGCCTTAACTGAGCTGCACAGTGGAGCTCATATCTACGTCTCCTAGGGCTCTCTTGCAGACTACAGGAAATGAGATAATGTACGGATTACACTCCCTGTAGAGTGAGTTTGAACACGGAAGACACCCAGGAAATGGCGACTGCCACAAAAGTGGGTGGAATGTTAAAGTATCCCAGCTGGATCATCACCTAAAGCATGCACATCTTGGCGGGTCGAAGGGAAATCTGGCACTGTGCTTTTGGAGTTTGATGAATGCCCATTGTTCACACCCCTACGTTTCTCTCTATCCCTGCCCCTTTGAGAAGCATGTTTCCAAACTGCCTAAAGGACACTGCTATAATAACCCATTCTGTTTCCAAGCAGGAGTCCCCTTCCCCCGCCCACCCGTGCTTATCTCGTCCCCCGAGATAACCAACATCCTGCGGCTCCTGCTCGCATCGCCAGTTTATCCCACTCAAGAATCGTTGCTTCTCCTCCGAGCCAACCCCGAGCATCCAAGGGGCTATTGATGTTAACATTCTAATTTTTCTCAGACAGTCCTTGGAGGCCTATCCCCATCTAATTTGTCTGCGCGTCTCACATTGTATATTCTGCCCAGGTTTCAAGAACCTTTGGAACAGACTCTCCGCTGCCTGCCAAGATCAAAATTTGATCTGCGGGCAGAAGTGTTCTTTCCCACATAATGTACCCTCGGTTGTTTGAATCTCCTGCTCTCCCGGGCCTTCGGATCCGCAGTCTTGGCAGCACCCAGTTCATCACTTGCTGGGTTCCCTGCTGCGCTGCACGGCGTGGCCAAAGGGCGCTGGATTTACCATCCACAACCAGGACCGGGAAGGCAGGGACAGCGAGAGACAGAGGAAGCAGACACAGGGAACGAGAACGTGCAGCTGGAGCTCAGAGAGCAAAACATGTTCATTTGTTTGTTTCTTTTTTTTTTTTTTCAAAACTCACTGAGACACGTATTGTCCTTGAAGAAATTCAAAAATTTCAAGCACTCTTCCAGGTCGTTCCCGCTGTTGTTGCAGTCGCACCACGGGGCCACGCTGAGACTACTAGAGTCGATGTAGTTGGGGGTCATGACTGTGCCTAAAAAAATAAAAGCAAAGCATTTCATGCTCGTATGACGGTACTTTTCTATAACCCAGAAGGAAACAAACGTTCCTCCGACAGCGGATACACCGTGGATAATTACAAACATTGTGTCTGCTGAGTGGGAAATTATGTTAAGCAGTGCATTTTCTCGGCAATTTATCTTGAGAACATAAAATAATTTACACATTTACTTTAAAAATTATAACAGAGCTCTCTGAGCTGAACTTAGGGTATTTTTTTTCCCCTGCACAAATGGTATGGATGTCATGGAGGAGGAGAGAATTAACTTAGAATGCATGACTTGCCAAATCCCTTGCATTTTCTTGAAAATGTCATTAATCTTCATAAATAGATAGAACTGGGTTTACAAGTCTTAAAAATCCTTTCAGGACTTTGAATCCATTTCCCTCAGAAGCAAAGGATTTCTTCAGAGCAACACAGGGACGCTTAGGAGCTTCCTACGGGTTACCCCACACCCTGAGTGTGTACGGCTCCTGCCCGCCAGACCCTCGGCTGATTTAAATAAAGTCTCCCAAGTTGTGAAGGAATTGGAAACAAACAGTGGCAATTCTCTAAGTCAATGGCTCCTAGAGTATTATCTGTGGACCCTCAATAGTCCTCAAAGAAATGCTGGGTGGTCCTTCCTGCTACATCTTGTAGTATTCATGGTTTTCTGATGCGCTCTATCCTGGCACAAACATACAATGCATTCATACTTAATACAACCCAAATGTCCTCTCCTGGGTGGCTCACACCAGGCAAAGCCCACTGATGCCAGGAAGCCTTCTGTTTTTGCATATTTTCTGGAAGAAGTAGTACGTGGTCAGTAATCCACAGGATGTATTTGGTTCACAAACAGAAAAGCAATTTTTTCCTAAGCTCCTCTGAGTTAAGGGCATGTTGCCTTCGCCCTAGATTTCCTACTGACTTGAGCTAAATAATATCCCATTGTATCTTGGAATGAGAATTTTAACCTACAGCATGAGAGGAGCTCCTCACTTTGGTCGAGAAAGGACCGGGTCCCCCAAACACTGAGTGAGGTTAAGGACACTGCACGCCTGACAGCATAGTGGGTCCTTGACACGTGGAAGAAGTAGGAACAAGCTTTGTCCAGAAAGAAAGTCAGGATACAAGGACGCAGGAGCCAGTGCACAGGGAGAGACCCAGGCCCGAGAGAGAAATAAATTTTGGTCTGTACAATGCATTGTCCCTACAAGTTGTTCCCTCCATTCCTCATCCTCAGGCACATAAGAGTTTGTCAAGTCTAAGAATGACCTCGTAGAAATGCTGGCAGGACGTGGCCTTGGCCACTCCTGGTGGAGTTAAGGAGCACGTACACCTGGAGGGGCACAGAGCAGTGTTAACAGGGATTACACCTGACAGTCAAGTTGCAGAGACTTAACATTTTCTTCTATGGGCTTCTCTGTTGTTACTGTTTTAAATTTTTAAATAAATTTTTAATTTTTAAAAATATTTTACAATGACTATGCCTTAATTGCTTTTGCTATTCCTATAGCTCCATGGCTGATAAGTAATCCTTAGTAGAGACTACTTTATTTAATAAGACAGCAAATGCAAATGTGGAGTATTGATTTAAGGAAGGTACACTTTTCAGCCAGATCAACAAAAATGGAAAATAACTGGGGAACTGGGGAAAGGTATTGCCCAAGGGAGCACAGGTATCCTTTTTAAGAAGTTGGAAGTAAAGAGCGGGCCAGGAACCTGCAATATCCCTGCATTAAGTACTCCTGCTGATTTTCCCAAAGCCTCCTGCAGAAGACACTCTGGTGAGAAAGAATTTAGTCTGCGCTGTCATTCTTGGGGGAGGTTCTCCCTGCTGGTGACGTGTGTGACCCTAACACAGGCACCAGGCAGGAACACACACCCTGCCTGAGCCATCGTGCTTCTGACAATTGTGACAATTGTGACAACCGTGACTTTCCTGACCCTTCCACAGGCTTTGCCGAGTGCTCCCTCTCAAATGCCAATTGCCATGAGCCCTGCCACCAAGCTTCTGCCGTCCCTGGTACCTGGGACACCTGCCTTCCTCCTGCGGCCCTGTTTGTCCAGGGGCACAGGTTTGCCTCACCCCTGGCTGTCTTCCAGCTCGCGGGTGCCTTGTTTAATTGCACCGCTCTGGATGCTGAGAACGCGGTTCCTATACAGCCTCGGGTCTCAAACATACTGTTTCTGCTGTGTCTGTTTTCAGGAAAAAAAAAATTTAGCCTAAATCACTCCCTGCACACTGCGAGCTGAATTACCAAGAACATTAATGTCAAGCAGGACCCCCGTATTTTAGGGTTTTTATTTCCAAAGGGCCATTTCTGGGAAACAGCCTTTCTGATTTCCCCAGACTGAACGACTTCCCTTTCTCTAAAGTCCCTTAATGCAATTAACTTTGTTTGACTTGCTCTCTTCTTCCACAGCCAGTCTTTTCCCCCTGCTTCTGTTCTGCCTGGTCAGTTCTCCAACCGAGACGCCCCCCATCTTTGCATTTGCGGGCTCCCTGCTCCTTAATAATCCCGGCTTCCTGCGGCTGCCTTTCACGCAGCCATTATCCTCTTTTTTTTCTCCCTTTCGTACAGGCAAGTCCTAAAGGACCTGACATCAAAACCCCAGCACAGAGGGTTACTGGGAGATTTTCACTTTTGCAGACATCAGCAGCTGCAATGGAAAGAGGGAGGATATCTGTAAACCAGACTCTTCTCCCGTCCCACTTCTTCTGGATCTTACCAATAAGCCCCGAGTAGGCAAGCAGGCAGTCGGCGTAGTTCTCCTTCAGACAGCTGCTGACAGACCTTGACTCTGGTTGGCAGTTGGTAAAAAAATCAGCAAGGCGAGATCTAAAACAGGAAGATAGGGGGAGGGAGATGTATTTTAAAACACCCTAAGCCTCTGGACAAACATAACTTTATTCCTTTACTGAGATGCCCCTTTGCACACACACACATACACTATATATATATATATATACACACACACACACACATATATATTAAAAACATGAACTATTAAAATATTAGTATCCTCTCCTATACAATCCCCCAACTGTCCCCTCCCCCAGCCCTCGCCCACCCGCGTGTGTCTGCATTTTTGGAGAGAAGTCTCCAGGGCCTATAACTGGAGAGATCTAGAGGCTTTGAAGTTTCCATTCAATATTTATTTCTGACTAGACTTATTTGCATCTTTAGGAAATGTGCTTCTCCACACACTCACCGGAGATCCACACTGGGAAAATATTTACTTTGTACAGAAACATGTCCCTGGCATCAAAATAGGATCCTACAGCCCATCTGCTCCCGTAATTCCTACTGGCTTTAAGAATATATGTATCTGCCTTGTAAATCATCTCTCATCCACCAGCCCTCGGGGAGCGATTTACTCCAGCCCAGGGACGCTAAGGAGGAGCCTGACTTTTGGAAACTGGAGGGGCAGGCAAGAGGGACGGGGGACAGGTGAGGCTCGCTCCAGGCGCAGAGGGCCTGTGGTCAGAGGCCGCACCTGGAGGGCCCGCTGATCAAAGTGTGGCATCTGTAAGCTCCTTGGGAACTCTCTGGGGGCCGCCACAGTCCACCCAGGACAGCAGGGAAGCCGCAGAGACCCAGAAGTGCAGAGGAGCCGCAGACGTGCCGGTCTGGGGAGAAAGAGGGCTTTCTGTGGCCGACTGGCTGTTTCTCAATCTGAAGAGGATATTGTTGGAGAAATCCTGAATGAGAGCCGGGCCACCTCTGAGGTCATCTCAGCGGACAACTGCTCCGTTTCTAGGGAAGAACACAAGGGACTTCCCAAGAATTTAAATTATCCGGCAATTATGGGAGACAATGGGAGGTCTTCTCAGTTTTCTTCTGTCTTGAGCTCACCCCAGAGTTGGCTCCTGGCAAACCCAGAGCTGTTTTTACTTCTTTCCACCCAAGCAACTGTATTTACTTAGCATACTTTAGGGTATAAACAAGCCAGGGCTGGAGGGACCAAGCAGGGTCAGGTGTGCAGGGATCCCAAAGGTCTGGAGAAGGCCCGTAGGAAGCACGTTATGTGCCCCTCCCCAACAGTTTTAACTGGAAGGGGCATTAAAAGGCCTCATGAAATTATCTGAGTCCATGGGACGCTGCCCCTTCTGCCAAGGCTGCGCGGTGCTCGCGCGGGGCTGCTTCTCTCCTTGAACCCTCGTAAACAGGCTTGCCCGCGCCTGCCGCCCCGTGCCCATCTGGTGCGTTCTGCATGTTCTGCGTGCCTGGCTCAGTCACTGCGACTCCCAGGGGCAGATGCTGGAGGTCTGCTTTCTTTTCTTTGCACAGCACCTGACGCTCCTCAGAGAGGCCCTTCATAAGGCTTCCCGAGCAGGGCCATGTGCTGGAGCTAAGTGCCCCCGCAAAATCCGCCAAACGAGGCTGGTGCGCGCACGGTTGTGCGTGCGCCTGGATCTCAGGCATCGCCCGAGCCTCGCCGGCGTTTGCTGACTTTAATTGAACACGCTGAAAGATATAAAACCTGGCTATGTTCTGTAGCCCCGTTAAAGGATTTATTTTTCGGAGGAAATCCCTAAAGGTGGCTCGGGCTTACTCAACTGGCTCCAATGGCATCCAGCTTGGATTGAGTGTTAATTTCAGAAGAATTTTCCCGGTCATGAAAGTTAATGATCTAGCGGCACTGGGCTTCTAACTTTGCAAAGGCCAACTGCGGTCCAGGCAGCTGGGGCTCCAGTTCTGCACACAACCTGGCCGCTGAGCAGCTCTCTGACCTGGCAGCCCCACGCTCCCCGCCTGGCCCCCAGAGATGGATGAAAGGTCGCTCTGTCTCTGGGTCTCCGGTTTCTCCTAGTCTCTCCAGCAGACTATTAACTGAACAACACTGTGATGAGGATTACTGTCCTTCAGCACGAGGCTAATGCCACCAGACTCATTTTGCTTAACAACCTCAGAATTGACTCACAATTGGACTCTGGAATGAAAGGCTAATTGAGTCAGTCTGCTGCAGAAAGCATAGCCCCGATTGGGAGGATAAAACGAAATATACTGCTCTGAGCAGAGCTCCGGACAGGCTGCTTTTTGAGAGAAGATCGTTGGCCCTATGTCAGACACAGCCAGTGGATAGGAAGAGAGTTTCAAGAGTGAGCGCAGGCAGCGTTGTTGAAACATTAACATTTCCATGCTTCCATCACATTTGACCCACCTCCCTCTGACATTTAGACTTGGAGACAGGATGCTCAACATTATAGGATTCACGTTTTACAGATGGAAAAAACTGAAGTTAGAAGTTTATAGAGTGTTGTGCCAGGGCCAGCTCATTACTGGGTGATTGGTACAATTTTAGGCATTTTGCATGTTGATTAACATCACGGTGGTAGCTTGAAAGTGGCTGGGGTGGGAGTATTTACACCACGGTAATTGGCAAACACTAGAAATCAAGACTTTGTGTTGTTCATAGAGAATTGGTTGTTAAATATTTACCAGCACAATTCTATTTAAGAATCAGTATGGTGTAGTAAATCCCATTGATAAAGTGTGTGTCATGTCTCGAGAGCTGAGTTCCAGCCCTTCTGGGTCAGGCTTCCTCTCCCATCCTCTATTTTAGCCTTTGTGCCAAATGAAATGGTGCAGTACCAATAACCTCCTGTCTCCAGTACTTCCCACACAAGGACGACGGTCTCCCCTGTCCCCGACCACCAAAACATTCTTCCTTCCCAACATCTTCTCTTACCATCACAGTCCTCTAAAATTTCTTAAAGTAACGTGTGACAGTGATCACACACGTTGACAAAGCAATTAAATTCCTGTCCATCCCATTGCCTGAATAAAGCATCAGGTGCTATGTTATAATGCTGGAAAAGACTCTGTCCTTCAACTTAAATAACCTGCAGTCTAGATGCCAAGAGAAACAAGTAAAAAGATTATATTAATAATAATAATACAGCGGTTTGTTCTTGATAAAAGGTAAGAATGAATGGCTGCTAACAAAAATTATGTCTAACATGAATGAAGTATTTAGTATATGCTAGGTATACTTTTCACACACTTTATATTATTTCCTGACAACACTAATGAGATAGGTACTATTATTTTATTATCCTGATTTTACAGATGAGGAAACCAAGGTTTGGTAAGGTTAAACTAGAGGAAAATAGTGAGTAGCAGAACCAGGATTTAAAACCACATATTCTAACTCCGTGATTGAGGTTTTTAACATTACAACACTCCATAGCTAAAGAAGCTTGTTTCAGAGAGGCTGTGATATTGGGACTGAGACTTGAAAAATGGGTAGGATTTGTCAGGTAAAGTGGAGGAGGGTATTCCAGGCAGAAGGAAGCAGTATATGATGCACTAATCACACTCATAATAACCTCAGGGTAAGTGTGGAGTGCTTGTATGTGCCAGGCACTGACTTCAACACTTGACATGTATTCACACACTGAGTCCTCACAGGGTGATACCATCAGGCCCATTTTACCAATGAGGAAACTGAGGCACAGAGAGCTCTCCAGGTTGTAGAGCTCCGTGGTGGAGTTGGAACATGACCACATTCAATCTGACTGCAGAGGTGGAGATAATTCTCAGCCTCTACACTTCACACACGCATCGTGTGGAACATTGTGGCTCACTCACTGTGGCTGGTTCACAAGATGCAAACAGGGAGCGATGGGAGATGGTGCTGGCGAGGTCTTAAAAAACTTTGCACAACCTAAGAGCTTGGATTTTATACCAACAGCAGTGGGAGCCACTGAAGGATTTTTTTTTTTTTTTTTTTTTTTTTTTTGATACAAGTCTCATTGTATTGCCCTGAGTAGAGTGCCGTGACATCAGCCTAGCTCACAGCAACCTCAAACTCCTGGGCTCAAGCGATCCTCCAGCCTCAGCCTCCCGAGTAGCCGGGACTATCGGTGCATGCGACGATGCCTGGCTAAGTTTTCTATTTTTAGTAAAGACAGGGTCTCGCTCTTCTCAGGCTGGTCTCAAACTCCTGAGCTCAAGCGATCCTCCTGCCTCGGCCTCCCAGAGAACTTGGATTACAGGCGTGAGCCACCGCGCCCAGCCCCACCGAAGTATTTTAAATGGAGAAGTAGCATGATCAGATTTGCAAATGAGGAATACTCTTCGGTCTCTCAGTTGTTCAGCAAAGGTTTGCTTAAGAGCTACTCTGTGCCCTCGCTGTTCCAGCAATGGGGAGAGCAGGAAACTGGCCAGAGGCGGGAGGGATGGTTACCTAAGAGACTACAGCCGTGGACCAGAGAGGAGGACTGAGGGGAGGAAGAAGGAATTCGTGGAAACATAGGTGCCTATAAATGGAAGTCAGACTTAAGAAAGGAAGGGCAGAATCAGGACACAGACAGCTCGGCAGGCAGTGGGGCTCTGGCGGGAAAGACGGGGGAGGCCTGGTTTGCAAGGAAGAGAGTGAGATCGGTCACAGCCATGTCGGGCTCATGGTATGGTGAGGAGCTAAGAGTCCAGGCAGTTGTTAGAGCTCTGGTTCCTCCATCTGTCCAGTCCCTAACTACTGCCTGAGCACTGACTGTATGCATGGCTCCAGCACCCCAGGGCAGCCCCTTCTGCACACACTTCCCCCGCCCACCTGCGGGAAGAATGGCGCTGCAATCAGTGTCAATGTCTTCCCTTGCCCGGGCTGCTGTGACCCAAACAAGGGAGTTTAAATGTCCAGTATGGGATTAACAAAGAAACCCCACAACTGGATTTCTTCTGGAGACGTGAAATCTCCATGACTACAGTAATGATGAGCTCTGATTGTTTTTCTCTGAGAAAATGAAAAGGAAATGAATAGGCACTAATGTAGAAATGTATCGCCCTCAGTAAGAAAAATCTCCCCCCCTTGAAGAGGAGGCAATAGCAAGCAA